GTTTGGCACCAAACGACTCGGAGAGGTCCTTCCCAATTCGGACTGCGCTTCTTGTGTTGTCTAGCGTCAGCTTACACAGCCGTATAGGTTTTGCGAGTACTCCAAAATCAGACACAGCGTTGTAAAGCTGCCGAAGGCGTCCTTTAAATCGACGAAGAGATAATGGGTGTCGATCATCTTTTCACGGGCGCATTTTATTATGGCTTAACCTAAATCGTCATAAATTCAACTCTGGGTCCATGCGAAGTAATACTTCATTGATAGTTCCGCGGGGAGAGTGGTGGTTAGTGGAGAGTTTTTAGTTAGAAGGTGCAACTGTGAGGTTGAAAGTGGTGCATACTGTTATGGGTGTATAGCAGGACCATAAATTGCACGAGTACCTCGTCCGAGAATCACTTCAGCGGTTACATAATCCCATTTATATTTATATACAGTGGCACATCAATACTATTATTTCAGAGATGTTTTATATTTTCAGGGAGTGTACGCTATGTAACCTTTTCTGGACTCATTTCGGGATTTCGACAAGTCAAGTTCATGTCCTTCTCTAGCCAAACTTGTCTATGTATAGAATTTTTTATCCGGAATCATCAGAATGTTTGTACTTTACCCAGCAGCTCCCTTTGTAAATATTTTGCCTCAAGGCGTATTATGAGCTGTTTATGCTTCTCTGTTATATATTATTCCATGGCCCTCCTAATTTTACTGATGTTTTCAGCTGATTAGGTTTATTACCCTCTAGGGAGCATTTCATTTTCGTTAGTCATTCATTTTTCATTTTCATTTCAACCTTACTGACTATACGAGTTGATAAGTGAAAAGATCTTAGCGGGTTTGGTAAGGAGATAATTCTCCCACACCTTTTTCGGGCAGCACGAATCCGTTTTTGAAAGCTGACATTTCTAGCAATATTTTTCATTAAAACTCATCAAAAGAATGACGACTTGAACTAAGATAGCCATGGCGGTCTGTCCGCATGTTTCAACACAAGCTTGTCCTTCAGTTTTTGAGATTTTTCAATCAAACTTGATACACAGAAGCATTTTTATATTTAAACGAACGAAAGTAAATTGAAATAAAAATTGATATTCCGCGCAGTTCTACGAACCACTAACCACTTGACTATTCTAATTAACAACCGGTGCTAACAAAGAACCTAAGCAGAAAACAATTTGAGCGGAAGTGTTTCACAGAGTATCAACCATGCCGTACGGGCAATCTGAGACCTCATTCTGCACTTAGAGCACACATTGTTTTGATTCTTGATTTCTGTGGCCAGTTGAACTAACGTATACGTGTGTGTAACACATGCAATGATTAAATTAGCCGCATTATTGGTTTTCCTCCTTTCCAACCCCGACTGGCATAACTTCCAGCATTTTAGTTTTAGCGCTTTTAAGTAGAGCTCGCTTGTCCCAACAGCCGCTTTATCGCTTTCCCTGTGCGGAGTAAAATATCGTTATGCTTGGAGATGATTAAGAAGTCCTGTTAAGATTTAGGCAAAGTGATACTTACTGTGTTACATTTTAGTTTTTCCACAGAAACTTCATGCAAGAAGCTTTCACCGACCAGCATCAAACCGAACTATATTTAATGGGTAGTTTGTCTACCATTTAAGAAAGTCTGAATAGAAATAACTCCTTTGTTAAGACCAAGGAAATGTGTAAACCCTTCATACCAAACAATATGAAATCCAATATCAATTCCAGCGAAGGAAGAACGATTGTCACATATATTAGCTTAATAACTTAATTCATCAAAGGCAAGCTTTGTTCCATCCGAATGTCATAAATAGAGGAAATCTTTTCATATATTAAGAACTACTGCTTCTTCTTCTTGTAGCGGTTTGCTCCACCCCGCTAAGTTAGTAGTTAGGCTACGAGCTTGGACCGGAGGAAGAGGGGTGTTATAGGAGTTGAATTTGTAGCTGTCTTGCAGTGAAGAAGTGCCTCACTTGTATTAGTGTCTGCTTGGTGTATCCAACTCTTACTTGACGTTGGCGTACTTAAGGTATGTATTGAATGCAATTAGTCCCTGCATGACACCAACCACCTCTTCACATGCCCTATCAAACCAACTCATCTAACCCCCCTCTCCCTTTGGTCCAACCCCGTCGAAACAGCTTGTTTCCTGAGCCTACAATTAGATGACCTCGGCGACTTAGACTGATCAAACCTGTGCCTAAGCGGGGCTAGTGAACCGCTACAACAACAACAACAACAAGTGAGGCAGCTCGAACTATTAATACACAGGAAGAGAATTTATAAAGTTGTTCCACTAATTCTTATGACAGTCAGTTTTAAGTACCGCGGTGGACCCGGGCTTATCATGCTGTGACCCTCTTTATTTGGCATGTTCACTGCTTTTTTCGTAGAATTTTCGAGTACTTTTCCTATTGCCTATATCCTCAAGTTATTTATACTCACATATTTCAGCCGCTCTCTTCCTAATCCACTTTGCGACTTTGTCGAAGACCAATAATTTTGTTGACGACTGTACTTACCTTATGCCGAAATACTGAGAAATGCTTTCAGAGATTGCAAGTCTGGCTAACTATTGTGATTGCAGCTTTTCAACGTCGAACATCCATATATTTGTTGACTCACATTCTTGGCTGCACAGAGGATACGTAATACCACTCTGAACGTTTCAAATGCGAACAAGTACAAGGATATCACTTGTGGTATATTAATATGTATTGGATAAGTGCATAAGTTCGTGCCCGATTCCGCTGGATGCCGTTCGAATCGTTTGAGAGTGGCGCTCGTGAAAGAAATATATACATATTATATATCGTTTGAAAGGTGACAGTCCGAACTGTAAATCAAGCCTTCCAACTTCATTTTCATTAATTTTAGTTTTGTATGAAGTGCCGATTTAAAGGTCCCTAGCACAAATTGAAAACAATACTTTTATTTTATTTTGAATTATTGTATTTATTAATTTAGTAAACATAAAATTAATAATCGTATGCATCCTTTTTGTATATTTAAATATACTTATATAAAAGTAACTATTAAATATAGTTTCTTGTGTTGTTATTTTCATTATTTTGCTTAATTTTTTGCGTTTTTTTTTGCTTTTTGTCGTGTTTTTTGTATTTTTCTCTTCACTTTACTTTATTCCACTTTAATTTACTTTACTTTACTTTACTTTACTTTAATTTAGTTTTTACCATTAATTATTACATTAATAATAATTAAGTATTAAATTTATGTTATGTAATTAAATTGTAAGCTTTGTTACGCTGATTTACCTTCTGCTTTATCGACTTTTTGGTTTGTGTACAAAATTTACTTTTTATGCGTTATTGTATGCTCATTTGTTTTTCTCTTTTTTATTAAATTGTGTTTTGTATTTTCTTTTTTGTTATTACTTTTATTTAAGGTTTTACTTTTATTTAATAATATATTTTATGAGAACTGTATTTTTTCTTTTTCAATTACTCAATTCGTTTCCTTCTTTGCCTCTAAGTTGGGTTAAATTAAAAGAAAATTATAAAAAAGCAGAATTGTTTTTATTAGTAACAACAAAAACGCTATGCACACACATGCATAAACAAGTAGATATAAATTTAAAAATATATATAATGTATATATATATATATATATATATATAAATAATAATTCAGAGATAACAATGGTGCAAAGTTGATGATTTCACAAAAATAAGAGGGACAGTCGCAAAAAGTGGATCGGATTTGATGATATAAAATAGGATGCGAAAAATTGATAACTGAATGTGCAAGAGTATATATGTGTATATATTATGTTTATATGTATTAAAATTAGAGTTATATTGGTTTTGCCACTTGGGTATTATAATGTATTTATGTACATATGTATGTACTTTAATAAAGAATTTTCTTCTTGCTGATTTCTCTAGTAAAATATTATTTGTTGTAGTCATTCAGTATTATGTATGTTTGCAAATGGTTTTGTGTCCATGAATTATATGCTTAGAAAATACCAGGAATAAGCTGAATAAAGGGCTTGTATGGTTGACTGGCTGGTGTAAAAGTAAGTAGTTCTTCGTGTAGCGCACAGTTCGATCGATTGCCTTGTGTTTGTTGTTGTGTGTGGCAAAAGCTAGTCGGAAGTTGAAGACAAATGTAATCGAATAGAAAATGGCTTACAAGTAGGTTGTTGTATGTTGTAGAGATATATAATTTACTGGCAATTGTGTCCGTATTTTGGTATTTCGAGAATCGGAGAAAAAAATTTACTTTTTGAAAATCGCTAACAAGCTTTAGTTAACCGTATTTGTTTTGTTTCAATTTTCGGAAAATTTTTACACTTTCTGTGATGGTGAGAAAATTTCTTTTTCCCACTGTTAATGCAACAGTGGCGTTGGTTTTCCTTCTAAATTCTCTTGATTCTTTAATATCTTCTCTCGAAAAAATGTGGTGTTGTGCTGGCATCTACTTTTTCGTTTTTCACATGCAATTTGTTTAGTAGCAATTCTGTTTTGGTTACAAATTCATATATGTTCTCACATGTATAATGTGGCAATATGTGTGTTGTAAGTAGTTTATTTATAACATATATTTGTATATCAAATTTGTTTACATGTATGTATCTGTGTGTTTTGTCCTTAAATGTGTGTAGCGCTTTATTTTTACGTCAATTGCCTTTTTTATGTCACTTTAATCTAATTTGAGGAGGGAAGGGAATAAATATTATTTATTTTACTGTGATTTTCTACCCTTTGTCTTTAATTTTACTCCTTCGTATTGCTTTAACTTTTCCTTTTCGATTTTTTATTTATCTGTGGTAGTCTAGAACTATATATATAATATATATAATATATAATATATATATATACATATATTTTATTTGTATGTATTTAGTATTATTTTTTATTTTATTTCAAATATATTCTTAAAATATGCTTTCCATATTTTGCGGTTGGATTTGCAATGAGTTTTAAATTAATCAGTTTTTGTTGCTTTACCCCTTTTTTATTTATAAATATCTGTTTGTTTGTTTAAATCCATTTAATTTTTTTTTTTCATGTTTAATTTATGCCTTTTCATTTCCATACACGTTTTCGTGGTCGTCTTCCGCTCTGACATCACAAGCTGATGTAATATTTTATTTTGTCCTCTTACGCCACGCACAACACGCTACGCCACTTCGTTTCCTTATAATTATCGAACCCACTTGATTTTACTAGGCCTGCTAGCTGTTTGCCTAATAAGTCCCTTAACAAATTCACTCGCGCCCGTTTATATCCTCGTGCTCTCGTTCTTTTTAATCAACTTTGCTCTGCTCTCAGTCGAAACTGATTTTCTTCTATTAAAACGAGTTAATTCAAACTTATTGTTTAATTTATATTAATTATTTTGTTAAAGAGTTTTTTCCTTTTGCACAATTACTTTCCGCTCTTTTTTAATTCGCATGATTTACTCCTTGTCTGCTTTTTTTCAAGTATACTTTACGTTTTCCTTTTTATATTCACTTAAATTTCCGCAAAAAATGTCATTTAAGAAAAAAAAAAGTATATATTTTATTATTGGATATTTGTTTAGGTTGTTGTTGTCGCTTTTGTTATCGTATTATCATATATATAATGTTTGTAATGCTATCATAGCAATTCATATATTTTGAATTTTTATTCTGTCCGGTTGCCTTTTTTTATTATGCTGCTTTAAATTTTCTTTCGATTTGCATTTGTATGAGAAAAACGATACTCTTCAACTACTCTCCACTTCTGTTTAATCATCTGCATCCTCGTGCTCCTTGTCATCATTCTGAAACTCCTTAAACTTTTCTTCGCGAGGTTTGGCATTACCAAAAATCGCGGCTGACTGCTTAGTCTCAGCCAACGCATTGATTGGCGCTTGAATGGTCCTTGGTTTCAAATTTAATCGTGGTCTCTCGCTGTCGTCTAAAAGAGGCAAAGTAAAGAATTTATTAAAACAACGACGATCACAACATTTAATAAAAATGATATTTATGAGCTTTACTAAATGTTTCATAATTATAACGTTTTATCCATTAAAAGCTAACTTTGCATTTTGTATAAGAAAAGTCAGAATGATCAACATGCATTATTCACACTTTTTGTTTATATTTTCTTAAAACGAACCATTTCATTACGATTATATTAAGAAACTTTAAAAACCTACACATCCTCCTCTTAAAAAGAAATACATTCCATTTTCTGTTCTCAAAGCGGATTCTTCTTATTCGATAAGAGCTGAATTATCTTCAAGCACCTCGACGCTGTGCGCTTGTACTAACACCAACATCTCTTGGATAAGAACTTATTTTTGGAAAAAGTAGGAACTTACGAGCTTACTGTCCCGTCATTTGAAATTAGTTTACAACATCACTATAAAAATCAACATAATTGGTTTAAGCGGTCACAGCCAAGGGCCTAGCTCTTCTCATATGCTGTCGACCCGCCCAACGCAAGTGCACTTCAAATTGTAGAAACTTATAAACGGTAATTATAGGGTGGCGCCCCTTGGCCGGATAAAATCCGAGTCAACTCAGGTGAGGCGTCCTGCATCCAACGAGTCCCAGAACGACACTAACCACCTAAACCAACTCATCTGGCCCATCTCTCCCTCTAGTCTGACTCATCGAAACAGCTCAATCCATGGACTTCCCGTTAGATGACTTCAATGACTTCTAGTCTTCTAGCCTAGCCTGGTACTTACGCTGGGTTGGAAAGCCGATAAAACAAAAAAAATTTTCCACAAATGCATTTACATATGTATATATGCATACAGAAGAGGGTGAAATGATGGTCAGAAGCCGCTACACCATAAAACGCATTGTGAAACGATTTGACGGGGTTTCATCTTTACAAAACGCAACACGTACAGACAGGCCCTTTAAACGACCGCGAACGCAGCCAATTAGTAAGAAAGGTTAAATAAAATTAAAATAAAAATAAAAATAAAAAAAATAATAAAAATAAAAAAAAAACCCAAGATTATTTTCCATACAGACCGCAGGAGAAGTTAAGGAAGAGTTGGAAAAGGATATTCATCCGATAACAGTCCAGAGATTTTGGCCTGAAGCTAACTTTCATTCTCGAGTAACTAGACGCAAACCCTTAGTTTCAAAAGTGTTTCTAACCAAACCAATTTACGTTTGGGACAATGTACTCTTCTCGGATAAAAGTAAATTCAATATCTTTCAATCTGATGGCCGTCAAATTGTGTGGAGAAAACCTAACACTGAATTTCAAAAAGATAACCTTTTGGCGACTATAAAACATGGTGGTGGAGGAGTCATTGTATGGGGCTGCATGTCAGCTGGTGTGGACGAGCAGGAATTCATTGACGGCATTATGTAAAAAAATACTATATGGAAACATTTAAGAGGAATGTCAAAAAAAAAGTGCCAAAAAACTTATATTGCCAGTCATTTACATTTTAGCACGACAATGATCCGAAACATACCGCTCGTGAGTGCGCATGTGGCTTGCACATCACATTAAACATACACTGCCGCATCCGCTACAATCGGTTGATCTAAACCCAATTGAACATTTGTGGGAAGAGCTGAATAGGCGCGTTGGAAAGCACGCTGTGTCAACAAAAGAGTTGAAGCTGACACTGGTGTATGAATGGCAGAATATAGGGGCAGAACCCACACAAAAATTAGTCTCATCGATGCAAAAGCGTTTGGGCGCTGTCATCAAACATAAAGGCTTGGCTATAAAATATGAATTTCGTTACTATTTTACCATTTTATAATAATTTTTTTGTGTTTTTATGAAATATGCCAATACTTTTGTTCGGTGAAAATTAGTACTTTTATTCATTTATATATAGTATTAATTTAACATAAAAGAAAATTAAATGAACTGAAATGAAAATAGTTGAAAATGTGTCCCTCCCTCTAGCATTTTTTTAATTAAAAAATATTTTCATAAATGGTCAAAAAAAAAAGGTGTTAAAGTTGAACTATCTTACTGTGCCAATACTTAAGTTCATCACTGTAAGTATCCACTCACATCTTTATTATAAATAAAGAATTTAAATATTAATTAGTGATGTTATAGAAACCAAAACGCAACATAATTGCTTGCTGTTTGAAATGGTGTTATGCAACCGCCTTGATTTTTCTTTTTTGGAAGATAAGCAAAACCGATATTCGAATCAGCTGTCATCAGACTTGTGCCAAAAACCCAGCAAGCAATTCAATTTAATTTTTGTACTTTTTTTAACACATTTGTGATTATTAATTTAAAATAAAATGACTTCGGCAGCGATAACATTTTTGATAATAGAAGGCTTTGAAGAAACCCTACAGAAAATAAAGCATAAAATTGTAAGGGATAAGAGCAATCCGCTGGAACTGGCAGAGTCGATGTAAGTGCAATTTGCATTCTACTTTTACATTTGAAGATACAATTTTGTTTTTATATAGATTCATAGACAAAGAAGCATTTGTAATAGTGCTGGATGCCATTGAAGGCAAGTTAGATGGGCTTTATATACCATCTTTGTTCCAACTTACAGCCACACTATGGTTTTTGGCAGAAGCCTTCTATTAACGGTCTTTGGGACTCAAATATCTCCTTAACGCGACCTAAGTATCGATGGTTATAAATGCCTAAACTAATGTTAGGAATGAACGACAATGGAAAACGGAGAGCATGTGACCATTTTCACATCAAGTACCGTATTTCAACAAAAATCGGTTGCTGCAACACCAAAAATTGACACGAAAATGACAACAAAATGCAAATTAATCATTTATCTTCGAGTGCGAATTTACTACGCTTGCTACCTTCGCTCCGTGGATAAGCACCAAATAGTAACTTTGCTTCAAAAAGATCTGATACAAACAACATTAAAAAAGAAGGACCACTCTTAAGTCACACATACATATTAAGCTTTTAATGTCCGAATGTGTGTTAATAAAATACCAACCTAGCAAACCCCACAAAAATGTCCTAAATGTGGTCGCAATTGAATATATTTCTATATATATATATATATATATTGTGTGGGAAGATATATATATATATATATATTTATATATATATATATATATATTCCTTTAAGGTTTTAATAAAAATCAAAGAAAGTATAAAAGTCATGAGTATTTATAATAGATAGCAAACTTATTGTAGGGAGGTATGATCATTTATCTTATTTTAATAGTTATATTTTCTATGGACAAATGTCACTTACCTATACTACCTAACGGGGCAGGAGCCGGTGCGGGTCTGTCATTATGATTGGGATTAAAGTGGGGACGTTCGCGATCGCGTTCACCTCTATTCCTACTGAAATTGTTATAACGATCGTTTCCACCATCTCGACTTTGAGCGCCATAGCTACCTTCGCGTTGATTACGATCGTGATTGCGCTCGAAACGATCGTCATTATTAAAATTGCCATAGCGTCCACGATTCGCTGGTCGATCTAAAATATGATTGTATAAATGGGTTAAGAACAAATGAAACAGAATTAAAAAAAAATCGTTAATGCATATGCAAAAAAAAGTATCAATTTTGAACATATCATGCATATTCAGTGTTCGATACGGTTTCTAAAAGTGAAAAGCATACGATAAGTGAAGTTGGAAGAGGCAACTACGGGTGTTGTATTTTTTTAGGTGTTGGTTGTGGGGCAAGGTTGAAACAAGGCTATCAATACAAAAGATAAGAACAGTTAAAGAAATAAGCAAATTGTTTTAACATAAATTGATAGAATTTTTTTTTTTTTTTTATTTGATTATTGTCAAGTTGTTACTTTCGGTGTGGTCCTTTTATTTCATTTACCGTTATATCCTCTATTCATGCCACCACCACCACCGCTGCCGCCGCCTCCGCCACGATTTCTATCGTTGTGACCATAATTATCATTGTACGAACCTCTATTATCGCCGCGATTACCACCGCCGCCACCACCACGATTAAATTGATGATTGCCGCCAGCGCCGCCACCAGCGGCACCCCCTTGTCGGGGTGGGCCACGTTTATTAAAACCGCCACCACCGCCCGCTCCACCTCTGTTTGGAGGAAATAAAATAGTTTAGAAATAAATATACCCTAACTTAAATTAACCTTTCGTTTTTCCTGCGATCAGCTATATCAATTCTCAACGGGGCGGATAAGTCGTCCAATTTAATGCGTCCATCACATTCCAAAGCCTTTTCCAAGTTTTCTAGAGTTTCAAACTCGACATAACAAAACCCTTTGAACTGATCAGTTTCGCGATCCTTAACCAGACGAACGTTTTTAACTTCAAAATCTTGAAATATTTTTATTACATCTCCTTGTACCAGACCTTGTGGTAAATTTCCGACGTATGCAATGAATGGAGGCTCCGTTGGCAATTGCTTTCCTGGGCGATCTCCAAAGTTTCTTAAAAGAAAAAGAAGTTGTTATTTTATTCTCAGGTAATAAAATGCCAACCGGCTCTGATCATCACCAGCATTACGTAACGAATTATTACATCTTAGCATTAAACTATATATAGGATATGAAAAATTTCCATAACATCATTTTTTTTACTAATGTATACATAAATATTTGATTGGTAGTAATGACTAATTGAATTACAAAATCGACATGAACAATTCCAAAAAAAATTAGAGCTTAATTTCACACAGTCGTATTTATACTAGGTCCATTTCGCTGGCGTTAAAGCATACATATTAATGTCATCTCTACACCATATTCAGAGGATGAGAGTTGTACTAGAGCCAAATCGGCGTCACCATAACCTCTGCCGACGACGTCACCTAGCCCACCGACAAGCCTTTGAAGCTTGCCTTTGTAGCGTATGACGTCGGACAAATGCCGACTGCGTTGCGCGTTTTTGACATCTTATGCATTCGCTATGTTTTGCACATGCTACATCGACCGATTCTTTTCGCATGGAATACAGCTTGCAATTTCTATTTGCAAACTTTTTCAATGAAAATATTAGTATATTTATATTCATTTATTATTTTAGCTTTGTGCACTTTAATTAGTTTATAAAATGCTTAATTTACTTGTTCTTGAATTGGCAGCAGTAAATCATACAAACATCGCCGTGCGTGCTCGTCAAAGACGTCGCCTTTTCTCTACTAGTTTGTACCCGTCGCCGATATAAAAAAAATATCTTGACTTTCTTTTGGTTTAAACAAATATTTTGCCACTTATTAAATTAATATATAATATCACTTAGTACAGTTACATACTAAAAAACTTTTTTTATAATTTAAACTCACTAAACTGTCTAAAAATAGTGGATTTTATAAAATATTTACCTAGCGTGATCAAAAACACCTCTTCCAGCCATGTTTTATTTTTTCAAAATGGTCTAAGCGAAAGACGTCCGTCCAAATTAAGGCGAATTTCTTTCAGCCTTTTGCTTTTTCACTGTTTCGTTGACAAAGTGTGCAAAGTGTGCGCCCCAACACGCTCTGGATATCTCGTTCACACCTACACTTTCGCCTATCAACGAAAATTGCCAAAACAAAAATAATCGACCAGCGTTTCTATGCAGCTCTCGTTTTCTCGCAAGAAAGTTTAGCCTTTTGAATACTTTCGAGAAACAGAGATGGCAATATCCCTCAACGCAACACGTTTGCGTACACCGGCCGCTCAACGAATTTGATACAGACTTTAAATTACGTGATTGCAAGTACAAAATTGCACCGAATGCACTGTTTTTGTTTACGAGCAAATATTTCTTCTTTATTCGTCCACCTTCACTTTACCGAAACTTTTCTAGTACTGAAAATTTTCCCTTTTTCTTTACCAATCTCTGCCCTCCATTCACATTCACTGCACTCGCGCAAAGCGCACTACAAATTTTTTTCGCTAATAGGGAATTTTGTTTATTTTACCGGGTCACTCTGTTATAGAAATAATTGAAATTAATTTTATTGCGACAGAAATAGTATGGGGAATTAATGTGTCTCAAAAATTCGAAATTGCTGATTTTATTGTTTGTTGCTTTGATTTTGACGGACTTTTTCAAATGGGAAAATGCTTCCTCTCCGAATTGTCTTATTACTTTTTTTTTGTTTTAGTCCCGTTTTCACAATGTCCGATAGCTAAACGTCAGATAGGCTGATGTTACACTTTCGTTTTCACCAAGTTTTGGTTACTTAACTTCTAGTTAGTTTGATCACTGAGAATATTTTTAGGTAAATTCACAAAAAATTGCGTTGTGAATACATCAAAACTGAAGCCGGTGTTTGCTTACAATTTTTCGAAGGATATGGTTGAGTAATTCCAAAGACCTTCAGTTTTCTATTTAATTTTTTAAATTTTAACTTTTGCTTATGGAAAAAATTGTAATTTAATGAAATTTATATCATATATGTATTTGGTAAAAATTGCTTTGATGGTTTTAAATTACATGTATAAAATGTATGTAATATATGTATATGCAAAATTTCCACTGCTTTATTCCTGCAAAATCAAATAAATTAACAATATTTATTTACTCAAAGAACATTATATTCACAAACCTTACAGTGCTGCTTCTAATTTTACTTTCTATTTTTTCCCAAAGGTATTTTGCACTAATTTTGGACAGACGAATTCTACGAATAAAAAATCTCTCCATCATATATCTCAAAAAAAAATTTTTGTTTGTGTACGGCACGTTCTTTCCTTATAAATACGCATCGGAATCAACGCAGCCAGATAGGCAGTGCGTTCTATATTTTACGTAATAAAATTTATTTTAAAGCCGACGTCGGAAGACTAATTTATTTATTGTTTTACAATTTCCAGCTGTCAAATTCTCTTCTGGTTAAGAGCTAATTGTCACTCAATGTTGGCGTTAAGTTAACCGCAACTAAATTGACAGATGCGCCTTAACCAGACATTGTGTAAACGAATTTTATGCTATCTTCCGATGATGTTATGATTAAGTGCCAGTGAAAACGGCCCTTAATGCTACTAAATACAAACAAATACAACGTATTTACTTTCTGTGCCTATAATGCCATTAAAGTCATTTTATTACCACTAATGATAAATTTGGGTAAATTTTACTCCAAATTGATACAGCATAAATAGCGAATGGTAAATTCCCGTATTTTTCTGGCAAAAATCTATATAACGTCAGAGTACAAATATTAGTTGTTAAATAATTTAAAGTGGCAAACTTCCATTTTTATATTGAAGAATTAATTAAATAATATAAAATCAACGTTAAATCATTTTGCAAAATTGGGGAAAACAGAAACATAATCATACATATCTGAAATAATATGATTTCTCAAATCCTTCGAATTCGAACACTGAATAGATAAATAAAAGTTCCAAGATTTGTTTTAAGTTTCATTATTCCAAACACACAGTTCACTGCGTTTTACTTAACAATGATCACAATAATCCACAATTGATCTAGGTAAGTAATTTGTGTACATTAAATAATTCTGCATTATTAATATGTATATACATCCGAGTACATAGTTATGTGCATAATATATAATTTAGTTTTATAATTGCAAATAGTGCAGATTTATAGATAGAATTATTTGGACTAGGTGAGTTTCTTTAACAGTTATAGTGATTATAGACTTATGTACAAACACAATCAACATTTCTGTATGACTATATGTAATTTCCAAACGTTTTACTCAATTCTAGTTTAATTAAATAAGCTATGTATAATACGTAGGCTATGATGGCGATGTTCCTCATCCGTATAATAGACCCTATATGAGAAAACGCTGTATGAAAAGGTGTTCCGAGCGGTAAACTGTTTATACTCTTCCGAAAACTGAGGTTGATTGAAAAATGTGGGCTATAGTCTATACTGAATATGAGTTGCACATAGTATTTTTATGTTTCTAATAATAATAATTTTTTTTCAGTTCGTACTTCATCCCTATTTTAAATATTGTGTTGACTTGGACAACTACAAAATTATAAAATAAAAATAATGTAATTTTATATATTATACTTCATAATCTAATCATAGACCGACATACCGACTACCGTAAAAGCTATGCTGTTTTCATATACGTTCTTTGACAAAAGTTACTGAATTGCACCAATTAGTTCGAACTAGAAGGACTTGTGAAAGCGTTACAATATTTATGATACGGCAACTGTGGATTAGCAAATTGCCCCAAAACAAATTCTGATAAATGTCATTTGTCGCCGCCGACTTTTTTGACATTTTTCTTTTGCACACCCTTTTCTCTAAAAGTGTACACGTTTTTGATTGTGAATTCACGAAATTCGAAATTTGTGCACAAATTTCTTGCAAGCTAACAAAAAAGTTAGAAATATATTGTGAAAATGGCGTTAACTTCACGTTTTTATAGCGAGAAATATCCCGAGGTGGAAGATGTAGTTATGGTAAATGTTTTATCCATAGCCGAGATGGGTGCTTATGTCCATCTGTTGGAATACAACAATATAGAAGGAATGATTCTGCTGTCAGAGTTGTCTCGCCGACGTATTCGTTCCATTAATAAGCTGATTCGTGTTGGCAAAACAGAGCCGGTAGTGGTTATTCGTGTAGACAAAGAGAAGGGTTATATTGACTTGTCTAAGCGTCGCGTATCAGCTGAAGATGTGGAAAAATGCTCTGAACGTTTTGCCAAAGCAAAGGCTGTAAATTCCTTACTTCGTCACGTAGCCGATATTCTAGAGTATGATTCAAGTGAAAAATTGGAGGAGTTGTATTTAAAAACAGCTTGGCACTTTGAGAAAAAATACAACAGCAAAACTGTTGCCTATGATATATTCAAACAATCTGTAACAGACCCATCTGTGTTCGATGAATGTGGTTTAGATGAATATACCAAGGAAGTTCTATTGAATAACATCAAACGTAAATTGGTTTCTCCAACTGTAAAAATTCGTGCAGATATTGAGTGTTCATGTTATGGTTATGAGGGCATAGATGCTGTTAAGGCAGCTCTGAAGACAGGGTTGGACTTGAGTACAGAAGAGCTACCAGTACGCATTAATTTGATTGCACCGCCTTTGTAAGTATAAAACCTCTAGTATATCCGTTATGTAGTATAAATAATTTTGAGTTTTACGTTATCTTCCGTATATGTTTATCATTTTTTTTTTTTTTTTTACTTTTTCTTAGGTATGTTATGACGACGGCCACAACTAAAAAAGCTGAAGGCTTGAAAGCTTTGGAAACAGCTATTGAAAACATTCGCAATAAAATTATAGAATCTGAAGGGGAATTCAAAGTTATAATGCCACCTAAACTTGTTACAGCTATCGATGAAGCCGATCTTGCACGTCGTCTGGAGCGTGCAGAAGCTGAAAACCAAGAAGTTGGTGGTGATGACGATGAGGACGATGATGGAGATCAAGAAGGCATGAAATTCGATCCTGAAAAGGAGTTCAATCACAGAGGCGAACGTGCGGATGCTCTCAATGACAACGAAGATGATGAAGATGAAGAGTAGTGAATCAAAACTATTTATTATTTCTCTTTTTTACTGCGTATGGATATTATTTTGTTATCTAAATCCACACAAGATTGTTTCATGCAGTACATAAACAAATGCTTTATTCAAGAGAAGCAAATTGACTACAACAATTTAGTTATGAAATTACTAGTGCGTATCGAGAATATGGTAAAAAAACGAAAGTTCATAAATAAAATACTACGCAAGAACAAATAAATGTAAAGTTTTTTGTACAAAAACAACTTTTCGATTATATAATACTTGAAGAAGACGGTATAACAGCGGAATTAAACGAAAATAAGTGGATTTCGTATTCAGTTTTCCAGAAGAGTTACTATTTCGCTCGTTAGCATTGAGTGCAACTAATGAATAAAGATGATCAAATTTTTCTGTGTTAGTGTTTGTCATTGAACACCGTACGGCTGGACTCAATTCTAATATAGTTAATAATATTTTCATCGGGAATTGAATCTGGGACCGAGATATTCTAAAAAAATGATCCAAAGCCCGACCCATTCAAAAAAAATTGTTTACACCTTTTAACCCCTGGATCGATTTTGACGAATTTTTCGTCAAGGTGTCTTCGGATATGGTTAGTTTTTATATATTTTTTTTCAGGAAGTGGATCATGAGCAAACCTATTTCGTACAATCGGATATATTAGGACTCATCATGATGTCTTAGCTCAATAGGTAACAATAATTAGATATAAATCTAACAAGATAGAAAAAAAACCATATATATGTATGTACGTATGTATATACTCATATCGAAATATAAACAGACAATTTTGTTTTCAAATTTTTCTATTTTATTTTTATTAAGTGATTCCATGTTAGTTTATTAATTACCTTACTACTTTTACCTTTATTAACCCTTTTCGTACACCATATATGTATGTATATTTAAACGATAGTCCGAAATTTCTTACTAGACTAGACCAAAAAATATTAAAGTCTTAGAAGAACCATCGGTATCCAAAATTATGAAGTTGATATTGTATAATCCACCAAATTTGAATGAATAATCGCTTCGCATATGTGTGTGTCTTATCCTTTCTATCCCGTACGCATACGAGTCTTATATTTTGCTCACAAATCCGCCACAGTATTTGTCCATTCCATTGTGTATAAAATAAGAAATGCTCTAGCCTGAGGTAGTTTGTATGTTATGGTAGGCTTATTCAATTCTTAAAGCTTTCGCTTTGTTTTTAAATATTGCCGCTAAGGCTTGTTGTTTTTTCACCTTCATCAATTAATGAAAATTTTGCGTATATAAATGGACAATATTTATATACATTTATAAATGTACACATATGTACATTTAAATCTTATAATTTTTGCTTAAAATAATATGTTTTTGTTCCTCATTCTACTGTAATTTACTGTTTCAGGGCGGCGACAGTGTTGACGACGCCAACGTCTTCTCAAAAGGTTAGTGACTTTGCAATTAGGGCAGCAGTTGCCTGCAATTTATCGCCGTTATGACGGCGTAACTCGGCAATCACATCCTGACGTTTGTAGCCGAAATTAACCAACTCTGTAACATCATTTTCCGTGAAACTATCATTAGGCGAAATATCGCTAGTTCCACCACCTTGGGATCTTTGCGACGTAGACGCTATAGGAATATATATTGTTATTTCACTTATATCATATAACTGAATAAAAATTATTGACAGTACCTGCATCATGCTTGCTTTGCTCAATTGCTTGTTGTATGGCGCGTGACTCTGCCTCGCTAGCTGATTGTTCTAATAGCTGTAATTCTTCCTCATTTGCTCCACTGAGACGTGCACATTCTGGCAGTTCATTTTCGGGCAAAAATTGGGTTTCTGTACCGGTAGTACCAATGCGCAAGACATTACGTTGCAAATCAATGTTGCACTAGAAAAATAATTTTTATTACCATACAAATTTATTTATGAACTTTAAAGTATAGTTTATTACCTGGTGACGCTTCAACATATCGAGTCCCAGCAGCATATCCATTGGCTGTTTTTCCAACACTGAAAAACTTGATGTTAAATGATCATTTCCAATTTGTAATTGTACCATGTGTATTCTGCCAATAATACGCTGGGTTCCTACTCCCTTAGCAACACCATTCCATCTACAAGCAATTAAATTGAAGTAAATGGAATTTTTTTCAAGAGCTAATAAACACTTACCTTGTATCGATGAGACGGTTTAAATTGCAGCGCTCAGCGCATGATGCACTCATAATCGTTGTCTGAGCACCCGAATCGACGAATGCTTTCACAGGCACACCATTGACTTTGCAGTTAATGTAGCTGATAAAATTAGAAGTTTCAATCATAAATTTGCACATTTGCAAATATTTATATTATCACATAAATTTAATACTTACAGCATTGTAACGGTGCCAAAAATTTCTGGATTATATTCAATGGCTGCCGCCATATTATCTTGAATATTCTTTTGTTTAATCTCTTCAGCAATAAGGCGTTGAGCCTCTTCGTCAAACGGATCAGCGTTTAACATACGTAAACGTTGCATTTGTCTTTGTTTTCTGAGATCGATTTGTTCACGTAAAACTTTGGTAAAAGCTTCTAAATCATTGGAAAACAACGCATCAGCGAGCCTTGGGTTATTCTGTTTCAACAATGCTACAGCCGATGGATTTGCTAGTAGCATCTTACGTACTGTAGCCGGATCATCATCGTAGTTTACATTAAACTCATCTGAATCGGAGTATTCCATACCGGTTGGTTCAGGACGAAATCCTGGTGGCAGGCCAGAAGTACTGCTACCACTTGTGCCGGGTACAACAATATTAGTGAAGTCTAAGCCGCTTACCGCCGGTGGGGCATCTGTTTTAAAGAAAATATGTTAATATTGTTTCCAAAAAATTTATGGGCTTTGTGTATACACCCGCATACATAGCATAAGCATATGCATACACATATTTAGATACGCCGAAATTGTATCTAAAAGCCTATAACTGAGAATTTGTTAATTGCAATGAATTTTTTTTATTCAAAATTTCGTTTGCCTTTGGTATATGCGTGGCAATAATAAATAAATAATGAGAAGTTAGAAACTGCTTATAATTTTTATCATAACGTTTAATGATACAAAAACCAAGACATTATAGATTTTTTTTTACACATCTAAAAAAAATATTTTATGTTTGTTAGTGAAAAGTTTGTCCTTCATAAATGTAAATCTTATTTTTTGTTAATATTTGTCCAATGCTCTCATTCTAGCAAAAATATTTTCATTTTAACGAGGTCGCATTTACAATATATTTTTATTCATGGATGTACATACTATATAATACAATCTTGATGATTAAACAGACGAATAGATATGCATATACATAGTATGCATATGTATAATATATGAATAATTCCAAATGTTTTACGTTAAATTTAAATGACGATGACAGGTTTTTCACAAATTTTATAAACATTTTTAAATATATCTACATCAAATAAAAACTTTTGGTATAAAAACATATTCGCACAAATGACATGTGGTGTTAAATACGTAGTATTTGAGCGCAATGACCCAATTATACATAAAAATTATGACTTGCAACAATACTTGGCTGTGATGTTACCAAATACACCTACACATACATATATAACAATTTTTAACTTACTTTGTCCACCAGCTGCTGGGGAGCCTCCCCCTGAACGCATTGGTACATTTTGTACTATTACACAGTCACCATCTTTGATGCCATAATCTTTGAGTTGTTTCTTGTCATCCGTCAAAGGAGAACCATTAAAAAGAATAACAACATTCGTTTGTAGGCCAAGTTCCATTTCCATTTTACAGAATGCCCTGAAGTTTTCTAACTCTAGCTCTTCATTGACGTCCAGGAAAAACACACCATCAGACATTGTAGTTACTGTTATCTTCATTTCTGTTTCTTTTTTATTAACTTAATGAATTTAGACTTAAATGCGTTTGAATGCCACAACTTTTCTACAAAGCTCGGCACGGTTTTAATCTTTAGCACTTATTCAGTTCGGTATTAAAAACATTTAATATTAGTGTATATGGACACAATGGCAAGTAATGCGTAAACGTTCCACTTCTTTGATTCGTCACCAAAAACAGGAGATTTTCAGCAGTTCGTGTTCTTTTTTTATATTTTCCTTAAGTTGCCCACTTGCATCTAACTTTATTCACGTTTAGATTACTTCTGATTTTCGTTCTTTCGGTCTAGAGAACTTTATGTTTCTGTTGTTGTATTGAATGCAATTTTCTTTAATGGCGTCGCAACGGCAGCGCTGTTTGTGTTACCCAGACCTATTCACGGTAAAACCATTTAATTCCAAAACAATTTAATTTTTTATAACAAAGAACGTATATTAATATACGTTCTTTGAAAACAATTTAATTTTTTATAATTGTTATAGGAAATTTTTTAGGATTCTTAGCCTTTTCGTTTTTGCGAGGTAATGCCATAAAATTTTAACAAAATTAATTTTTAAAATTCTCTCTGATATATATCAAAATATGCTTACACATGCCAAATAGTTTTTCGAAAGCAAGTAAAATATAGAGCCCTCATAAAGCATGTAGAGCCAGGAAAGGGTTAGTTTAAACTTGACTTAACCGCTATGCTGATAGCGAAGAACATATTGTTACGATTTTACTAAATCAACCTCGATGATTTCCCAAATCCTTCGGGTACGATCTCTGGATTGTTAAATAAAACTCGCCAACTTAATTTGCAGTTTCTTTCGTAATAAAGATTTTATCTAATGTCCTTTATTTACTCCGTAATACACAATTCACTTACAAGGCACTTTACTAGCTACAATCACTTGCATAAACTTTCACCATTTACTCTACTTAAATGTAATTCCCAACGCGTTCACTTTACGACTTCACTGATGTTAACGCCAACGAGTTCACTTTATCACTAACTTGACTTGCAGCTGAGTGCCGCCTTTATATAGCAGTCGGCTGCTCGCAGACGAAAGCGTAGAAGCATCGAATTGTTCGCTATGGAAGGTTCTTGTTTTATCGTTTCTAGAACGTACTAGTTATCGGCTTCTCTCTTTCATCTGACATTCGCCTCGCATTTTCGCAACAATATATTAATTAATTTATTAATATACGTTCTTTGCTCTAAGCATATTATTTTCACAATTTTGCACTAATTTTGGAAAGACAAATTCTTTTTTTATACATAATTCATTTATTAGCTGGATCTGCAATAAAATAAGCCTAACAGTAAGTGTAAAAATCTTAAAAACTAAATTACAAACATGATAGCTCCAGTTATTTACCTCTGAGCTCTTTTCAAACTACGGCGCTCTCCTTAGAGGGCGGGAACATCTCTTCGCTGCAGACGGGATTTGGATGATTTCTCAGCTTTGTGAAGTACTTCGTTCTGCTTCCTTCAATTTCAGGCTTAACCTGTAAAATACCACGCTCTTTATCAATATTTACGTTACAAACGTACCATGGTGCGCCCGTTAGTGCTCTTAAAATTTTGGACTGGAATCTCTGTATTTTATCAATATTAGTTGCACAGGTCGTATCTCACAGATGAATACGGTACATCCAAATTGATTTTAATACTGCCGTGTAAATAAGGACTTTGTAGTCTAGTTTTAGACCGGAGTTTTTATTTTAAACCCAATATAAACTAGCTGCTTTCAATTTCATATGTAGTATTTTCGCCTCTATTTGTCTGTTCCAAGTTAGATGTCCATACAAGTGTATACCGAGATATGTAACATCATTTACATGGGTAATGTTTATACCATTTAAGCGAATTGCAGGACATGATTCATTCATTAACTTGAATTCTCCAGTTTTCTAGCCATTCTTCGATTAGGAGTAGATGATCACTAATCGTTTTTGCTGAACTTTTAGAGCAGTTATCCTGGCATAAAATAGCTGTGTCATCCGCAAAGGTAGATCTCTGAACTTAATTCTATGAATAAAAACCTCTTCATCATATTTCTCAAAGAAAATTTTTTGGATACGGCACGTTTTTTCTCTATAAATACGCATCTGAACCAACTGGCTGCGTTCCATATTTTCATTAATAAAATTTATTTTAAAGCCAACGCCGGAATACTATTTTATTTATTGTTTTACAATTTCTAGCTGTCAAATTATCTTTTGGTCAAGAGCTAATCGCCACTCAATGTTGGCGTTAAATTAACCGCAACTTAATTGAGAGATGCGCCGTAACCGGTAATTGTGAAAACGAATTTTAGCTACCTTACAGTTTAAGTCATGATTAAGTACTTAACCGGAGATGGTGGACACGGCCCTTAGGGTAATTCGCTCACGAAAATTTGAAAATTTGAACATTTGAGATGTAGGTTTTTACTACAATTTTTACAGATATGTATGTGCATGCAAACAATTATGCCTCTGCATATATGTATGTAAGGATTAATGTTTCAGAGAATGGAGTTTGCCGATAAAGTTAATTAATGCAAGAAATATTAAAATGGATTGAAGAAGACGTTGGAATTGGCTCTGACAAAGAACGCAAATTAATAAAATTAATATATGTTATTTGGCTCTGATGATAGTGAAAAGGATGAGATATGTAATTAAATTAAACTTTGAAAAGAGTAGGGTTGATGTTTAATCAAATGTAAAAATATATAAAAGAAGTAGATAAAAAGCTTTGTCTTCCTTTTCACGACCATTGGTGTTTTTATTTTGGAAATATTAAAAAGCGCGGAGCGAACAAGAAATTGCTGGTGTAAAATAAAGCGGAATAAAAAAAGATAAGCAAATGTCAAAAAAAATGTCACATAAAAGAAAAGCGGCAAAAGTATCCTCGTGTAAGCTCATGCAGACTTTCCAGTGAAATAAGAAGTAACAAACAATCAGCTGTTGTTGTGTTGTTTTTTTGTGAAAAAATAAAAAACCAAAATGTATAGACATATTTTACGTCTAGAATTAATTAAGAAGGTTGCGAGAAAAAAATTCATTTTCATATTTAATTTTTTCAATCAAATTTTTTGAGGACGGAAGACATGCGTATTATTTGAGGTTTCTCTCAACAAAATATTTCCTTCCCACGGCCCGTCTCAGGAATTCGTTGGAAGCAATTATCTAACTGCAATGAACCAACCTTCTGTTTTGCAATCACTGCACTAAATTTCAAATTTGATTGTGAAAGTAAAAGCCGGGAAGATTTGCTTCCCAACAACAATTGAAATTCAAATATATAAATGAATATTCTTCCTTTTACTTTACCAACTGGCGAATGTAATTTGACATGGACGAAGAAAGCAGCGCTGCTAAAGTTTTTACAAACTTTGTAACCAATTCGCTAGAATACCAAATTCAACTCCGGATGTTAAAAAAAGTAACAAAATGTACTTTAACGATAGCAGCGAGAATAGGCCTGTAAGTCATATTTGCGATCCGAAAATCGTTATATTGTGTTAGACAATAGTAAATATCGTTAAAATTACGCTAAGTCATTTTAACGATCCGAAAATTGTTACAGGTCGATAAAGAGTCCCATCGCCTTTCTATCCTCATTCAAACATATCTTATATCAGTTTCAGGACCTCAAAAAGCTCTTAAATTATTACTTGAATTAATTTCTATTAAACTTCTCATAAACCAAATTCACTATAAAACTTATGCTCGCTGGTATGGTTTGTTGGCACTGCAGACGCCATATTACATCATGTTCGGGAGAATAGAAAGGCAATACTGATTTCTAAAATATCCAAAAAATACGGAAATATTTCGAAGGGTTGGCATTATCATCACAAAGTGCTGGTTGTAGAAGAAATAAGAAGTAGTAATTTTCAATTTCATAAATCGCTCTGTTTCCAATAAGTTCAGTTCAAAAATTATCAGAAAATATAACTTTTGATAAAATAAGTATTATATTATATACTAAAAATCTAATAAGTACAAGTAAGTTTAAAAAGTAATTTGGTTAAAATAAATTTTTTCGTTAGTCATTTGGTGATATTTGAGTGTGTGTGCCGTGATTGGGAAGTGAGATAAAGCAAGTGCTCGAGAAAGGAAGGAATGTAATAAAAAATAAGTCAATTTATTTGGCAAAAGCGAGTTCATAAATATACAAAGAAAAGAATAAAAACTTTTTGAAGAAAATATTTTATATTTTTCTGCTAAAACTATATCCTTTTCATTACTATTATTGAGTGTTAAGAGTGATATATGTATATATAAATTTTTTTAATTTCCAATTTCGCTCGTGTACCGACGCCATATTTGTGAAAAGTTTCGCGTTTTAAAAGCGAACATAGCCGATTGCTTACCTTCATCGCAAAAGAGAAAAGCAAAGTAAAGTTAATTATTTGCAAATTTTTTTACAGCCATACAGCGCCAGTGAACAGTTTTTCAACGTGGAATCAATTACTAATTCTAAAAAGTTATAATGAGTGCTCAGCCTAGTCCCGCCTGCATGACCCCATCAACCGAACAAGAAAGGGTAAGTTTGGTTAATTGCATTTACTGTTTAGTATATACATACATAAAAAATATAGACCAAAGGTATATGTGGCAATGTAAATATTTATAAAATTTTTGAACTTACATATACATATGTATTATGTCCATATACAATGATTAAATGTTTAAAATACATAGATACATCCATCAAACTGATCATTACTGAATAACATCAGCCTGTTTGTGGTTTTCGTTGCCAGGTGTTTTTAACGTTTGCATTTGTTTTCTTTTAATTTATGAGATATGTATATAAAGCTTCTTGAAAATTAACCCACATTTGTACATACCTGTGTATAAGTATGTCGTTTATTTGATAAATAATCTTAATTTGCAATTTAGTTACCAAGAAGTGATTACATTGCATTTTACTTTAATAAATACCTACTCGTTTTTCGTCGTTTTACATGGAATGTTCCAAATAATAGTTGTGTGCGAACGTGATTTTGTTTTTATTAAATTAGATTCTCTTTGTTTCACAATTCGCTTAAACTTCAAAACACCAGGAAGTGTGTTATATACATATCTATTTACATACATATGTACATATATACAAGGAATGCGAGTCATAAATAAAGAATTTCCCCATATGTACAAATATAGCAGTTAAAAATTAATAATAGTTCGTATATTTTAATATAGGTATGTACATAGTATTTAAGTATACGCGCATTAAAGAAGTTTAAGTAATATCTTTCCAATGTTTCTTGAAATTCTTTTATAAATTTTGTGAAGTTCGTACCGACCTTTTAAATGTTAATTCCGAAATAATTCAAGTATTCAAAATGGCTTCTATGCCTTCAAATACCTAAAATACCTCTGACGGATTTTACAACTGAATATTTCTTTCAATGCTGAAACTTCCCTCGAAAGAATTCCTATTTTTGATATAAAGGTTATAATCTAAAAAAAAAACATGTGTCATCATTAACTGTTATTGGTAAATAAGCGGTCCACTTTAAAAACCAAACATTATGGTAATATGAAACAATTTTCTGATTACGTACTGACATATTTATATTGTATGTACCTTCATACATCTATACAATCGTACGTGTGCTATGTATGTACAAATTTAAATATCAGAAAAACGACAACAGTGTGCGTAATAATAATTGTGGCTAATGGAGAAAGAATTTCTTTGCGTCCTTTTGTTTTCATTAGTAATCAGTTGGTTGAACATTCAAGCGAATCTTTAATAAACTTTTGGGGTATACCTTCCTACAATAATTTTTTAATAACTTCTCGTTTTCAACCGTGTAGAACTTGACGCGGGCCATATATTTAAGCAAGTAATTCTTCCAGCATTTAAAATTCATTTAAATTTTCAAATATGAACAGAACTTACTCACACAACATGGCTATATTACTGGCAAAATAGTACCACGTAACACAAAAAGTAACGGGATTTCATTAATGTGGAAACTACAGCAGAAAATAATTAATGTACAGGATGGTAGTATTTGGGCCTTCATTTTGGCAGTGGCAAATTTAATTTACAGGTATTATTTAATTATAAGATCATTACTTAAATTTCCATTCGCCACTGGTATTATTACGCATACAGTTGTATATATTTGTATATGTATGTTAATAATGCTTTTAAGGGTGAACAGGGCGTAATTCAAATGAAATCGTTATAAATAACTGTATGCACATATTTACCAGAAATATAATCGTGCAAAGAAGCACGTAAACAAGATTTTAATTTGGAAAAATAATGTGAATATTAAGTACATATATAAATATGTTAATTTATATAAAGAAATCTCTGCACAGTAATCACATTTTTATTCTTTAGGCATATCACAAGCATACATTTATAATAGATATGTACAGACAAAAGCCACATCTTTAATTTTTGTATATAATTATGTTTATGCAATTGGGACTTGGGAGTTGGGACTTTCTAAAGGGTGAAGGGAAGTTTAAAAAAAAAAAAAATTCAGAAAAATGAGTGAAATCTTTTTTTTTGAATCGACAGTACGGTCCATATAATTTAATGTTTGAAGAGTATTTTATGCTAATGTTAACCGCGGCTGCGCTTCAAATGGTGGGTCCATCCGCTCAGTCCAATTTTGGCATACTCTTTCAGACATTTCGGCCGGTATCTCACGAATAAATGCTTCAATGATGTCCTACAAAGTGTCAATTGAAGCGGGCTTGTCTGTATAGACATTAGATTTAGTATAATAATAGTCTAAAGGCGTTAAATCGCGCAATAGCCGGCCATTTGACCGGTTCCGAACATATAATAAAATGTTCAACGAACTCGTCTCTCACAGTTACGTTACGATTCGCATCATCTTTGAAGAAGTACAGTCCAATGATGCCACCAGCCTAAAAACTGGTTCAAACTGTCCTTGTTCTGGATGTATTGCTTCTGACTGATCTTCACTCCAAAATCGACAAATACGCACCCATTAAGCCAAAAATGAGCGTCGTCACTAAGCACAATTGGTTTGATTTGAACTTTCTTAACAGCGCACACATTTTGATAATAAAGTTCAATCGTTGTTCGTTTGTAAGACGATTTGAGGTTAAATTATAGACCAAACTGAAGATATTTGATAGTGATACAAAACAGGAAACGTGCGTCAGCTGCATAAACCAGTGTTGCCAAAAAGATAAAAGCTAAAAAATCACCCTTTCTATCCATTAAAGTTATGTTATGTACATCGTGTATATGTGCATACATACAAATCTACATATGTGCAGTTTCTAGGTTGACTAAGCGTTTGCGTTATAGTGCGATGACGGTCGGCAAGGTCGTACATTGGCCCATAGCACATCACTTGAAATCCAGATGCATACATATGCATGTATATGCATTAGTATGTACAACTATGGACATATAAATAACAATATTTTTAAAGTTGACTTTCTTATGCTTTTGCGCCGTCAAAAACTTCATCAATCAAGTTTTTGATATTTTTCTAAATTTTAATCTTCAGAATAAGTAATAACAAAAGCTCAAGTTAGAATGCATTGATAAAAAAATTAAATTGATGGAAATTTAGAAAAGGTGGTGATATAAGCTGGATACATAAATGGAAGGAAGTTATGAGTGAAAACATGTTTTCTATTTTAAATTTATTTCTCTACACTTTCTTCTATAGTATATTGTGCTATAGCATTCATTTTCAATGATTGTTTCACGTCTGCGACTTATACTTTCAACGAGTTTTTAACAGTTGGCTTAAGGTATGGCATACCAAGCATCCAGGACGGTGGAAAATGTATCTTCTAATTTTTCTTTCGATTTCAGTAGGATTTAAAACGTCGGTCTTTTCCACTTTCAACTAATTAATATTTAATTAGGACGAGCGATTGCGGTCGTTGTCCGCCATAAAATTTCATTTAATTGGTATGCTGTCGAAGGCTTAGAGTGTTTTAAAATGTCCAAATATTTAAACTTCCGCATTTAGTCGTTAATTCGGTCCTAAGCCATGTCAAGACCGTCATCTGGGGGAACCTGGGATTATATTCTAGTTGTTTGGGACGATGAATAAGACTCTGGTATCTAGTCCTATTCTCTTGATTTTCGTTTGGACACTCCACAATCGCTTCCCAATATTCTTTTTTGTTAGAAGTGGGTTTTTCCTAGAAATGCACATTCTCACAAATGTTCATGTGAATCCAAGTATATAAGGTCATCAATTCCGTTGTTTAAAAAAGCAGGGCCGTATTTTGAGATCTGACACACTTAATTGTCGAACCAAGCATCATTGCACGAAGGGTTTGGATCACTTGTGCCAACATATGTTAGGAATGCATGATGTCACATCCCGTCAGTTTACTTCCTTAACTGATGAATGTGATATTTACATCTGTATGCGTGTACGTCATTCTCTCTTCGTTTCCTTGCGCATTTTCGTCATTCTTGTCGGACAAACAGGACACAGCTGAGCAACAGCATTGAAACCAAAAGAAAATCAGCTTTGACAAAAATTTTTCCTACATATATTGTGTACATACATACAAACATTATTAAGATTCAGTCTTTATTTGAATATTTTACATAAATCATGTACATGGTTTACATAGCATACAAAAGTAAGAACAATACAACATAAATTCGTTTTAAAAAATCAGCAAAATATTGCCATAGTGCCATGATCCACGAAGGTCTCCGTAATAATCGCGGCTCCTTCAAAGTATAAAGACGTCAAAGTAAAATAAAAAAATAAAGTTCGAATCATAATGTTATTTATGGAAATCTACTACTGCTGCATTCTACTCAACCTTCTCCATTAACAGAATTTTCCGTACAATATGGTGTGCCCTTAAATAAAAACAATGTGCAATCTGCTATGGAGAAAATGGAACAAAATATAAAACGGACAATATCTGGCTTCAACAAGACGGTGCCGCGTGCTACACAACAATACGAATATGGCTTTATTGTGAAAGAAAGGTGTTAATTGGCCACCGAGATCGTGCGATTTGATACCGTTTCATATGTTATTCGAATGATGTAGTGTTTCACTTATGTCAAGGCTCAGACTTTATGATAAGCCCGGAAATTCATTAAGAAAATTATTTTAAATGGATTTTATTTACTTTTATTTTCGAAACCGCAAAATGGATAACCTTGTATAAGGGCTTGCAATGAAAAGTTCATAGTTTCTATATCATAAGGAATTAGCTTAAAATAAAAAGAAACGAGTTTTGTTGTTGTTGTAGCGTTGTAGCTCACTAGCCCCGCTTAGGCACAGGTTTTATTAGTCTAAGTCGCCGAGGTCATCTAATGGTAGGCCCAGGAAACGAGCTGTTTCGACGGGGTTGGACCAAAGGGAGAGGGGGGTTAGATGAGTTTCGAGCTTTTCGTCTGATATGATGGTGATTTGACCCAGATGCCTATTGGAGTGTTTCCTACGGCAGCATCCCAATAGGAATTGCTTGCACAAAAAATATCAGGCAATCATCGGCATATGAGGTCAAGGAAACCCCGTCTGGTGGAGGAGCAAGCATCGAAATATTATTTTAAAGAATAAGGGGGAGAGGACACCACCCTCCGGAACTCCTTTTCTAATATTCCTTATTTTTGATGTTACGCTTCGAAATTCTACCGAGGATTGATTGCCACTCAGATTGCCCATGATAATGACGCTTCCTCAAATGACTATCCTGCGGAATGAACATTCAACGGCAGTGACATCTGATGGAGTGGGAAGAGCACTATTGACAAACTCGGTAAATTCCGTGAATCCGGGCCAAATGACGCGATACTGCACGGTGTTGTGTACAATGAACGCTAAGCCCTCGCCATGGTCTCGCTCGCGTTCCTTGCGAATAATGTTATATCCGGGACGGCTCAGATGATCCGAACAGGCGGTCTCGTCGGTATTTCCCTGGAGCCCGTTGCAGTTAAGTTGTAGCAGTCGGGTCTTTCTCGGGGGGGACGTACGTAAGCCGAAGGGTGACAGAATGATGAGTGGATGTAGCGTGCTGTTGCTGTAATATCCGCTTGATTGGATGCCGCTCCGTGAGAGCGCCTGGGCAGGCCTTAAGACGACTCCATGGAGTCTTTTATGGTATACGCAGAGGAAATTATCCTTTGGACCAAGTTTGTTCCCACGCCTGATGAGGATTTGGAGCAGCCCAGTTGCGAGGATTTGCTCCATTGTTTGGGTAAGATATATATTTATGTTGTAATTGTCCGATCTAGCTGAGTCCGAAAAATGATCCAAACAGTTTATAAATACATCTGCTTAATGCATGAGATATCTCAAAAACTAAGGGAGTAGTTTACGTACAAACAGACAGACTTGCTCGTGATTGTGATAAAATCGGTATAAATTTTGGTGGATTTGGCTCCTCTCCTTTTGTTGCTTGTATACATAGTAATAATAGTAATAATTAATATATCATTTTACTTTAATTAAGGGTATAAAAACTCTTAATGAAAACATTAATTAGGCAAAAATGTTTGTGGACCTAACATTACACGGCAGTTTCAAACGGTTGGAAAATGTTTCGTGTATTTTACACTGAAATAATTCAAATCAACAATTTGATAAGAAGCTGAACTCAATATCGTTTTTTTTTTACTGAATGTAGTTCAGAAACTTTTCTATAAAATTTGGTACTATATCTACATTTCAAGATAATCGAAGTTTTTTCTTAATAAATTGTGACATCATTTGCAAATTTTATTTTATTTTTTATTTTATTTTATTTAATAATAATAACAAAGCATTAGTACAATAAGATTTCCATATCTTTTTTAGTACAACAGAGATAGTGTGAAGAATAAGTAAATATTACTTTACAGATACCTTAATAAAAATAATAACAAAAATAAAAAAAAAATTATAATATATAATGAGTTGAGTATGACAAAAACTTAAACAATTATTGAATGGTCAGTCTGTGTTTGAAATTTGGCCTTTAAAATGCATATATATGTGGTTCTTGAAATTGCTTCTGTTTAATTTCCTCCTTAAATTAGCAGGAAGAGAGTTCCACAATCGGCTAGCATTGACAAAGAACAGCCTTGATGATTGCTGTGATCTATGAAAAGGTATTATTATATTACCTACTCTGGCTGACCGAGTAAACGATAACTTGGAAAAAAGATAACTAGGTGATTGAGTCATGATGAGTTTGTAAAGAAAAATACAATTTCTGGCTTTATGATAGTCCGCAATCGTACATCCTAATATCTGATCTTTCCAAGACGAAATGTAAATTGTAATTTTATTGAGTTTACATTATTTTTGAAAAATAAGTGGAGAGAAGTTTTATTATTCTTCATTACACACCGTTTTCCCAATCCGTTTGGAATATTTCGGTTAATTTATTACCACTTTTTGCACATTTATATTCACAGTACTTACTTACATATATATTTCAAAAATACACCTGCACGAACGCTAAGCTCAAAGATTTTTCCTTTTCTTCTACATAAAACTCATTTTAAAGATTTGAAAACAAGAAAAATCTCTTCAATTCTACAATAGTTTGTTGATTGTGAATAGAGGGATTTTATAAATAAATAAAAGATAAATAATTTTGGATAATGTGAAGTAAGTATAAAAATCAAAAAAAACTCATGTTGTTAATACTGATATGCAAAAAAAAAAAAAATGAAAGGCCAGCAATCAGATTTTGTTTGCCGATAATATTAAGCAGTTTTTGTTGCTATTTATTTTTATTTTTTATTTTGTACAATACAACTTACCTAACATGCACAAATAAACACAGAAATATGTAAATATATGTACATATAATAAACAACTGCACACATGTACCACGTATATGTAGAAAAATACAAATATTTGTAAATTTGTATGCGTGTACGTTTAGTCAATCATATCGCCAGCAACATGGATTCAGGTATAAATTGCGTTTTAAATTAATTCGCGGAAAGCACAAGAACGGCTGTTTTTTATCGCTCAAATACTTGTTTTTTTTTGTTTTTGTTTTCTGCTATTGTAATTTATTATTATGTTGTTTTGTAGATAGTGAGTTTGCTGATTGTGTGAATATTTGCGCAAGTGTATGTAGCAAAAACATCAAAAAGCACCTTTTCATTAAAAAAAAAAAAACAAATAAAAAAAAATAAAAATAATAGTACTAAAAAATAAATAAATAAATATGTATATATTTTTGTTTAAATATATAAATATATATTTTTAGAAAATGATTAACATTACATACACGCTGTCAAATACGCTTCTTTTACAATCATGCATATGTACATACATATGTTTAATAAGTTTAATAATATTTATTTACCTTTCTTTTGGAGATAGTATTTTTAGAAAAACGTAATAATAAAAAAATTATGAATTAGAATAAAATAAATATTTATATATATTTTTATAGTTCCTTTAAAATTTTCTATAAATATTTCCGTAGATGTGCATTAATTTGAAAAAAAAAAAAATTACTTTATGTAAACTAGAGCCGGGTATCGAGCAGTGCGATCAGCTTATATGGTTTTCTTGAAAGGGGAATTTTTAAAGTCCATGATTTCGGTTTCTTAATTTGCAAAGTTGTCAATAATTTCAGTTTCATGGATTTCAACGAACTAAATTCGTTATGAACTACGCATGTTCAATTGATTAATAAATTTATAAAATGATTTAGATTTTTATTTTTTGGTATTTTTACAAACATATACAAAGACAATAAGAAAAAATAATATTGTTGAACTATACTCTTCATCTACGCCTTTACCTGAGTTACCGCCTTTATTACATGGTAGTGATAAGTGGCGACAACAATACAATAATTCTCATGACAATCTAGCTTTTATATCGGAAAAAGTCGGTCAGTCAAGGACTGTCAGAGCCCTAACACCGGCTAGGTCATCAGGTTCATTCGTTTTGTGCTTAGTTTAACTAACTAAGAACTGGAGGAACATTTGAAAATAATGAAGAAGTTTCTATTAAAGTCACGGGCCGAATAAAATTAAAAAATAGTAAATTCGTTATATTATATTTATCCTACGAAAGTGGTACACTATTAGCCATAAATATGCCCGCCCTCCAGCGACAAGTAGCCAGCCGGTAAAACTTTGTTTTTTGTTTTTCCATTTCTTTAGTTGACTGAGTATGATTCACATATTTGGAAGCACTCATACGAGACACGTAAAAACGCAGAAGCAGTACCAGCCAGAATACTTGAATCTAGTTTTTGGATGTTAAAAAAAATTATATATTAATGTATATGTTAAAAAATATATATCTCTCTGGTATGATTTGTTTTTGCGGTGCACTACATACAAATAGATATGTACATGGATGTATGTATCTGAGATTATTATATTGTGCGTGCTTTATTTATGAAAATGTTCGAAATAAGTAGCTTATGCGTTGCTTTCAGAAAAATAAAAATATGTACAAACGTACAAAGATTGTTTTTTTTTTTTTTACACAAATGCGATAATTTACTATTTGGCTTTGTATTTAATGCATTCATGTGAATAAAAAAATATTAAAAGATTAAAATTTAGTTAAAAAATTGCTACTCAATTGAAAACATAAAATACTAACAAAAAAAATGTTGTTGTTGTTGTTGTTGTAACCGCAAAATTATTCCTCAAAGTACTTTTTGGGGAATGTTGCGGGAGTGACAGTCCTTGACCGGATAAAAATCCGGGTCGTTCCGGTATAAAGACCCGACTGTGCGGGAACTTTTGGATTTTAGTCGCCTCTCTTAAGACAGGCATGCCTTACCGCGGGTAAATTAGAGTTTGCCCCCGACTTCGTCCGAGTGGATATTTAAGATCGGTATAATAATATTTTTTTATTAGGCTTTAATGTTATTTATTTTATTACAACTTAAACTATTTTGTTAAAATATATGAAATTATGTTAGTCAAACAAATCAAGAAAGAAAAGTTCTTTATATTCTCTTTTACACATATCAAGCTAAACCGAACTCTCGAATTCAGCTCAGGCCCATTTCCCGAAAAGAATAGTGTTCCCAATGATAATTTTAGAAAATATTCAGCTATGCGAAAATATATTTGATTTTTTCCGATTGAGCGGTCTCAGGTTCTTCGGAAAATACTTTCTTGCTTCTCATTTTTTTATTATGATTTCAAATATTTTCTAGATTACTTGTTACACTAATTATATTCTCCCATACACAAAATTTTTTTTTTACCTTTACACAAATTATATTGTAATATGCAGAAAGTATTTTGAATAAAATATAAAAATTTATTTTATCATATTGCAGGTATTTCAATGGATCAACGAATTAGCCCATCCGGAGAGTCGGGAAACAGCTTTACTCGAATTGAGTAAGAAACGTGAAACAGTGACAGATCTCGCGCCAATGCTATGGCATAGTTTTGGCACCACCGCCGCCCTATTACAGGAGATAATTAATATTTATCCATCGATTAATCCTGCCACACTCACTGCACATCAATCAAATCGCGTATGTAGTGCGTTATCATTGCTGCAATGTGTAGCATCGCATCCAGAGACGCGTACAGTGTTCCTTCAGGCACAAATACCATTGTTCCTGTATCCATTTTTGCAAACAACATCTAAAACACGGCCATTCGAATACCTTAGGCTAACAAGTTTAGGTGTAATTGGCGCACTAGTTAAGGTAAGCTTAGCTTGTTTTGCTGTGTTGTGTCGTCTATACTAAACTGCTGAATTCCGTTTTTTCTCCGCAATCCTCTATTCCCCTTCGCGTTGCAATTAGGCTGATGAGCAAGAAGTGATAACTTTCCTTTTAGCAACTGAAATCATTCCACTGTGTCTGCGAATAATGGAAACCGGCTCAGAGCTGAGCAAAACTGTGGCTACTTTTATCCTGCAAAAGATATTATTGGACGAGAGTGGTCTCTCGTATATTTGTCAAACGTATGAGCGTTTTTCGCATGTTGCTATTATTTTGGTAAGTTTTATAAGCATACATTTTGGAATATGAACTCAACTAATTTGCTACTATAGGGCAAAATGGTTATACAACTTGCCAAGGAGCCTTCTGCACGTCTACTGAAGCATGTCGTACGATGTTATTTACGTCTTTCCGACAATCCCAGGTGAGCCGTCAAAAAAAAATCTTATTTAAAATGAATTTATAAAATTTATTCAACTATTTTTTTAATAGAGCACGTGAGGCTTTGCGACAATGTCTTCCAGATCAGCTGCGTGATACGACATTTTCAGTATGTCTTCAGGATGATAAATCTACAAAACACTGGCTACATTTGCTCATTAAGAACTTGGAGTTGGGGGCTGTTCAACCAACGGATCCGCGTCAAATCGGTATGTCCCCATTGACGTCATAAGCTGTTGTAGCAGTAAAAATGCGCCGTCTAAATACATATAAACTATATATGTATGTATGAAGTGCAGCTAAAAGTGCTGTTGTTGTATGATAAGAATTATACTCGCAGTGCAGTCCAAACAACCCAGCCAAGTATAAAATAGAGACTACAGACATACACTTAACCCCCCCAACTAATGTAGATTAAAATATAAATGACGCAAATTAAGAATGTAAACACCTTTTTACTTAAAATTTTTTAATAACTTATTAATAGAAATGCAAAAATCAAATCACACACAATATCACAAGGGAATACATACATAATTACTTAAAATAAAACAAATTACAACAAAACACGTATTAAATATAGCAAAGAAAATAAGCAAATGCATAAAAAATTACACATTAAACTCGTGATAGAAATTGCAACAATACGAATGCATTATTAAATAAATAAATAACTGAATAAGAATTATGGTAATAAGGATAAAATATATATAAAAAAGGAGACTGTTTATATGATAAAAGCATAAAGCAAAAACCCAAAAAATAACGGGTACAAATAAAAGCCCCAAAAAAAGAGTAAAACTAAAATATTACTGAAAAAATATATAAGAAAAATTTATGTAGAAAATGAGTGAATATTAACTAAATTATGTAATGATTAAGAAATGGCGGTACCTAAATAATTAATCGAATTGCAAAAAAAAAAAAAAAAACAAAAAAAAAACTAAGTACATTCTAATGCGTTACTCAAATAAGTACATTTCGAATGTTGTTCTGATAAAACGCCGATTGCATTATTTTCTGCCACGTGCAAGGGAGGCGAATGCACTCTTTATGAGATTAGATACGAAAACTAGAAGAACGGATGTTTCAGAAAACAAACTAACAATAATTGGCTGTTGAGCAGTGCATAGTTGCAATAAATTGAACGAATATTAGTAATAAATATTATCTGTTCACCTTAGCGTAAAGCATGAAGTTGAATATAGAGCAAAGGGCAGACAAAATTTTATTCCTTTAAATATGCTAACGTAAGCAAACATTTTATTTTATACCGATGCGAAGAGACGTTCATGCAACATACACCTATGCAAAAAAATGTGTATTTATTTATTCCTCATAGACTTTGTACACTCAAATGCATAAATTTAAGCAATATCTTTAAATTCAACAAACATTTTAACAGATTATTTAAAAAAGTCTGTGATGCAAGTTGTAATATTAACCACAACAGAATATACTAAGCAAACCAATTTTCAAAAAACATTGCCTGTTGGAAATAGTCGAGTAACAGACAGTTTTTATCATGCCATAATCTTTGCTTATTATTAGAATATTGCTGATGTTTTTTTTTTTGTTCTTGTTCTTTACCAACAGGTCTTCAGATAAATGCGTACAATTGGCATTTGTTTTAATACTAAGCCAATTCAAACTATGCACAACTTACTACAACCTAATAATACTAAGCGCTTAAAACAGTTATTAAATAAATTCGGCATATATCATACATACATAAACACAAACTCATATACTCTGCATTGTACACTACCATACGATTTATCTTCTGTAAAATTTTGCGAGAATTAAATGCGCCTCATGCTGTGCCAGGATTGCAACATCTTTTCATTGTGAATTGTATTGATAAAATAAATGAAAAGAATTTATAATTAAGCTACTCAATATTTTATTTTATTTTTGTAAATTTTGAAATTATGTACGTTAGATGTATTAACAGTTAATTAATAATTAAATTATATAGAAAAAGTTTCTGTTTTAAAATGTTTGCCAAAAATAAAACCTATTTGAAAATTAAACTGAAAATTCAACAACTCATTTTCATGTATGTCGGTTGATATGAAGCAAACCAATTGGTTACTAAATTAAATTATTCGATAAGGAATGCATTTTCTGGCTAATTTGCAACTTCAAAAAAAATCACAAATTTATTTTCAAAATATAAAAACAATATGAATATGCTGGTTTTCTAGTTTTATTTCTAATATTTAAAAAAAAAAACTTAAAGAAATATTATTCTTATTCTACTTGAAGTATTGAAATTCGTTCTACTTTGATCTAGACTTTAAACATCTTATCATTTAAATACTACTAATGAAAAGTACAATATTGACAACTAAAACAATACTTCTTTCAAAACAATGCATTGAGAAGACTTAACCAGTGATTTAAAGATCTTTCAAATCCAAGATGTGATTATTTAATTATAATTGTTTGTGTAATAAAGATGAATGGCGTATGTTGTAAATTCAATTTCTAATGGCTGTAAACGTTAAAATAATTAAATCATAACCAACGAAAAATTCCCCGCTGCTATAATAGATATTAAAATAACTACTTTTAACTAAAAAAAAAACGGTATACGAAAACATTTTCATTATTATTTGTCAATATTGCTCGTGGACTTGATTTGAAGAAAATATGGAAACATTTGAAATTAGCAGAAGTTTGAATATACTTACATACAGGCATAGCAAAATCCTTATATCTAATTAAGAAACAAAACCATACGTACACAATTGTAAAGTTCTTCGCAAGACATTTCTAACCTAAAACTGTCTTAAAAATGTAATGTATAGTAAAAATTATTCAATCAAAAACATGTAATGTTTGTAACTAACGCATATGAGTGATTTATTTTTTATTTTTGTATAGTGTGTGATGTTGATCGATGTCTTGTGGGCACTTTAATAAGAGCAACACAAAATGTATCTCATTACAAAGAAAGAACCGCATATAGTTAAAAGTGTATCTTAGAAAATTATTGCATACAAACGTATTGAATACAAGCATTTTTTTTTAGCGCAAATTACAAATTCAGCATACAAAATGGGTTATTAGTAAATGAAAACCATTAATTAATTACACTCTCGACTGCCTAAAAGAATTATTGATACATATATATATATATATATAATAGTTATAACTCTACTGTAAAGTTTTAGCTGCCGTCTTTTCATAAATTCCGGAATGCTAACTCACATTTGCAATAATATTGTAATTAATTTATGTGATTTACTTGTAAGCCAATTAAAAATGTAAATTTTTCTGAAATATAATTTTGTATCCTTATTATTCATTAATACTTAATACTTACTGCAACAATATACTCACCCAAACATACAAATAATGCAGCGAATTTTTTTTTAAATGAATAACATGATTATTAATAATAGTTTGCTTGGCGGCAATTGTTTATTTGCGCACAGCGCATGCAACACTTTTGGCTGCAAATCATTGTAAAAACAATTGTGTATTTTTTTTTAGACTTGAAATTAATATTTTTCGTTCAAGAGAATTAAATATTGTAAAAAATTACCTTCCAGTGAAAGGCAAAATTTATAATCTCCCTAAAATTAAAAACATGTCTATTTACATATTAATGTTGAACATATATGTGTTTAAGCATTTTGTTTAACTATGTATGAATAAATATGACTTACGGTTTAAAATATAACCTAAAGTAGGATAGGCGTAAAAGCAACTTAACTTGTAAACTTATATCATTCTTTGTAAATTGTTATTATAAACCAGCATCCTAAATAAATTAAGTTTAATATGCATACATACATACATATAGATATGAATATTATTATAGTTATTTTTTTTTAATAATTGGGCTATTTAAAAACAAAAATGATGAGCACTACGTAGATTTGTATGTGCTGGTTGTATATTATATGCCGTAGTTCTTAATTTTTACCTTCATACAAAATACTAAATCGAAAATGTAACATATTGTACTTTAAATATTCTTATTTTTCCTATAATAATGCCTAATTTAGCTTGTATACATTATTAACTATTTTACATAAAGTTTGAATTACTACATACATATATTGTATAACTACATATTCATGTCACATTTATATTTATTTTAAATGTTTGTATTAAATATTAATCGTGCGATTTGCCGAAGTTTTAAAAAAATATATTGTGTTATTCTGTTGCATTTCGCCCATTTTTATTAGCTGACGACTTGCTAGAGAGTGTATTCTTATGATAATTCATATTGTTGTTGTTGCGGGAGTGACAGTCCTTGGTCGAATAAATACCGGGGTCGTTCGGGTAAAAAGACCCCACTGTAGCGGGAACTATTGGATTTTAGTCACCTCTCTTAAGACAGGCATGCTGTACCTAAGGTAAATTCTTGAGCCCCTAACCCGCAGCGGCATGTGGAAATTCTATAAGGTCGGTTTTAAGTGGAGCTACGAGTATCTTTAGCAATCTACGACTTGTTGCAAATCGATCAAAGGTGCCTTCGGTTCGTTCCTCTTGTCTACGCAGAGTAGGTTGATAAGCTTTCCTATGCTTAAAGTTGTGTATTCTAGATTTGATTTTAATTTCGCAATTGTGATGGGTGAGTATAGGACTATCACTCTTCAAATCATGTATGTAGTTATAACAATATTCTAATAAGACCATCATAGTTAAATGGCGACATAAACAGGCCTATTCTGGCGAGGTAACAAAATTTACTTAGGTATTTACCGTTCAGTAAATTTTGTTACCATTTCGTATTCTGAGCTCACTGTTACCCTATAAATTTTGTTACCAGCGAAATAGAAGGTAACAAAAATATCTGCTGTTTGATTTTGTGTTGTAAGTTTGAGAAAAAATAAAAAAACAAAATGGGTAGGCAGATATTAGGCCTGGAATTCATTGAAGATGAAGAAAAAAGTGCAAAAAGCCGTATTTTAAGAAGCTTTCGAGACTAAAAAATAGCCCATTAATTTGTTTAAACATTTGCATTCAGCTTTTTTTGTTATCCAGGCATATTTTCCATAATTTGGTTCAAATATTTATGATTTAATAAACAAATTAATAAAACTTTTTAATTTTTTTGTGCACCGTTGTTGTTGTTGTAGCAGTTCACTAACCCCGCTTAGGCACAGGTTTGATCAGTCTAAGTCGCCGAGGTCATCTAATGGGAGGTCCAGGAAACGAGCTGTTTCGACGGGGTTGGACCAGAGGGAGAGGGGGGTTAGATGAGTTAGTTTGAGAGGGCATGTGAAGAGGTGGTTAGTGTCGTGCGGACGCTCTCCACATGCAAGTCATATGTTGGATATGCTGGGGTCGAGTCTGGATAAGTAAGAATTTAACCTGCTACAGTATCGAGACCTAAGTTGTGCCTTTACCGGTAACCGGAGAATAGGCCTGAAACTAAAAATACTTGAAAACAAACAAATACTTCCTTACATTCAAAATGTTATCCACATTATCTACTATATTTTTCTTCGCAACTTGCAAAAGTTTCATATACAACGATTTGATAAACAATATACATTAGAAAGCTTATTTCCATTTTTTTTATTCACGTTCGAATGTGTAGTGTTTTTTGCCATCACCGGGGTATTGTTTGGCAGCAACTGGTCGATACATACGGTAATCCTCCAGCCAGTAATATAAAACGAAGCAACCTGTCATCACACCCAGAAAACTTAGCCAGTATTGTGACTTTGTGAATCTAGGTTGCTCTGGTTGTGAGTAACGATCTTCACCATATAAATCAATATCAGCATGGAACTGGAAATTCGAATATAAATATATTTCAAAGAACTATACTAAATTATTACTTACAGTTTCATGTAGATTGCGTTTATGTTCGGGGAAGTCGTATGGGTAGTAAGGATCTTTCGATTCAATGCCAAGACTTTTACCCAAATCGGGATAGTCACCATAGCCTAATCCATTGTCTGCGTATGGACGATATTCCTCTGGCAGTAGATAGTATTTTTTGGCCGCAGCTTCACATGCTTTCTCATCTTTCGGAATCGGAGCAGGTTTGTAATCTTTGTTCCAGCTAGCCACTATAAAAATAACGCAATTAGAAGAATAGCAGACAGGATAATAGTACCAGTTACGTAAACAAAATAAACTCGCATTTTATTTCTCGGCATTCATTCATATGTGTGATGAATGCTATTACACTTACTGCGTTTCGCTACATGTTGCAATAGCTTAGGATTCGCAGCTTGCAACTTCTGTGCAGCCTTTAGTCCATTAAATAATGCGGACATGTTGGGAAAATGCTTTCGACACTTTTATTTTTCCAATTGCAGAACGATTTTTGCTGCACTCAGCTGCCATAAATGAAATCTTGAGTTGTCAAATTGTTATTGTTTTCTTTTGAAGTATTGCCAGATGTAGAATTCATAAAATTATGGGGAAATCAAGCTCGATTATTTTCTGAATCCTTCGGGTACGATCTCTGGATTGTTAAATAAAAACTCGCCAACATAATTTGCAGTTTCTTTCGTTATAAAGAATTAATCTAATGTCCTTTATTTTCTCAGTAATTCCCAATTCAATTACAATGCACTTTATTATTTACAATCACCAGCATCAACTTTCACAATTTATATTAATTAAATGTAATCTCCAACGCGGATACTCCGCTATACTCTATGTTAACGCCAACGAGTTCACTTTGTAACTGACTTAACTTGGCAGCTGAGTGTCGCCCTCATATAGCAGTCCCGATCAGACACATTCGCTGTTCCAAACTCAGCAAGCCTCTCAAGGTGGACCACAT